AGTATCGGCTGAAAGACGGCCGTATTTGAATACTTCTAGAAGAGCAGTTTACTTCCATGCATGCACATTCTGTGTCTTCTAGACCCTGCTAAGTCTTTCCCCATAATCCCTTCTCCATTTCTCCAGCCTGTCAGGATTTTGAGCACATACACACACGTACACACATATCCAGGATGTTTTCCAAGCCACCGGAGCCAGAATTCAAACAGCTTGATTGGCCATGGAGGATCCAGCTCCCCTATCACTAGGCCTAGGGGAGGAGGCTTTTTTTTTATTTTAAAATAAATAAACAATCAACCAACCAGCCAGAAGGCACGCGTGCTCGCCAGAGAGGCCAAGAAAACACCTCTTGGGACCAGTAGTTGGCATAATGGTTATGTCTCTGGACTCCCATGTAGTTGACTGCAGTTTGGGTCCTGGACCTGCTGGCTTAAACTCACGCCAGGTGCGTGTGCGTGTGTGCCCAAGATCCTGAGAGGAGAAGGGATTGCGGCATGTCCGTACACCCCCGGGGAGTGATTTTTCGCTTTCTGTCTCTGTTTCTCTCTTAAGCACACGCGCCTCATAGAAAAAAAAAAAAAGGGGGGGGAAGAAAGCACCTCTTAGTGGAGCATGGTCACACTGCAGTCCCTTCTCTGTTTCTGCATCTGATCGGGACCTTGGGCATGCACACACCCATGCCTGATGTGTTCCTCACATCCTGGGGATCAGGGTTCCAACCACTTGAGGCCAGGTGGGATCTGGCTCCTTAACCCCGAGGCCACAGGGCTGGCGCACCAGCGGGCATGTTTCTGTCTGTCTGCCCCACTGGGATATGTGCTTCCAGGGCAGGGCCATTGCTGTTCGCATTCCACAGCTGGGTCCCAGTATCCGGGACAGAAACCAGCATGTATTAGGCAACAGTAAATATCGATGAGTGGATAGTGACCCTTAATACGCTGGAGTGGAAGCCTAACAACACCCTTTTCCGTCCAGGTCAGTAGAACGGGTGTGTGTTCTGTGTCCTGAGCTGCCCTTCCATGCGCACCTAAAGCTCTGGCAACTTCAAAGGCTGCAGCACATTAGAGAGCCTGTGCATTTCACTAAGATGTTAGGAACGACAAGAATTCAGGACTTTACCCCGACGATGAACAGATACCCCTTATAGTTCTTTTAGTTTTTTTTTTTTTTTTTTTTAGATTTTTGTCATAGGGCACATGGCACTCGCCAGAGAGAGACAGAGAAAGAGAAAACGAGAAAGCACCCCTCTGGTGGGATGGCCGCACCGCAGTCACTTCGCTCCCATTCTCCTCTTGGGACTTTGTGCGCACACACGTGCCCGGCGTGATGTTCAAGCGGCCGGATCCACGGCTCGAACTGCAGTCAGCCATGTGGGGGGGTCTAGCATGTAGCTCCCACACACCTGCCGGCCTCAAGTACCCTTTTGTTAAAAATGTATGCCGCGGGGAAAAGCAAAAGGTGGGAGATAGGGCGGAGGCCACTCCGTAACGTTTTGTTTTGCTTTCCCTGCTCCGGGTTTGGCTGCCAGGCCAGATTCTCGCCCTCCCCGCTCTCCTCCGCTGTGTGTGTCTTCTCCCCGGGGTGTAGGGCTCCCTGGTCTCCAGCCTGTTGCCTGGTGCGTCGGAGTGTAGCCTTGGCTATCCGAACCTGGCAGAGCCCTCCGCCAATGGCAAGCGGCAAGCCTTTCCTTCCCTCCCTGGACAGCACTCATGTTCTCGCAGGGGCATGCCCAGCTCAGAAGCACTTGATATAAGTAAGTAGGAAACTGGAGAGGGCCTAGTTTTAACTCCTGAGTCAAAACATTGTTTTAAGAATTATTTTATTAAATATTATGTACCACCACTATTATTATTATTACTTTTTTTTTGAGAGGTTTTTCACTATAGGGCGCGTGCACTCGCCAGACAGACAGAGAGAGACATAGAGACAGAAAGCGAGAAATCACCCCCCAGGGGGGATGGTCACGCCTCAATCCCTTCTCCTCCATTCTCCTCTTGGGATCTTGGGCACGCACATACACGCGCCCGGCGTGAGTTTTAAGCCACTGGGTCTGGGACACGAACCACGGTCGACTACGTGGGAGTCCAGTGACATAGCCATTACACTAACTGCTGGTTCCCTATTATTACTTTTTTAATTTGACCACAGGGAGACAGAGAGGGTGAGAGGGAAAGTAAGAAAACAAGTTGCCAGGTCCAGGACTTGAACCACAGTCAGCCGCGTGGGAATCCAGTGGCCTAACCACCCCACCACCTGCTGGCTCCAAGTCAAA